TAGAATGGTCACTAACGGAATCAGTACTGGGAGAATGGTCAGATCAGGGGTTTGGAACACCCTCAAAAAGGAAATACCACTACAGCAACTCCCAGTGGATGATATGCCGAGAATGTACAACTTTGAGAAACATCTCAATGTAGTATTGAGCAATAAAAAGGATTGAAAGGGAGAAATGTCTGCTCAGCAGTTAAAAGACCATACCATAACTTGGTATACTGATGCTTTCAAAATCAATGCGTGAACAGGGATCGGAGTATTTGGGTCGAGAACTAAATACTCCGAAACAATGGGTACCTATCCTAGCATCCTACTAGCAGAAATCTACGCTATCGAAAGATGCGTACAACTTATCTCAGATAGGAACTATCGGAAACAAGAAATAGCCAACTTATGTGATAGTCAAGCAGCGTTAAAAGCGATCAACTCAGTATCAATCAATTCGAAATTGCTTAAAGAATGCATAGAGAAGTTGAATAAATTAGGCAAAGAAAACAAAGTCCTCCTACTCTGGGTGCCTGCTCACCAAGAGATAGAAGGCAATGAAAAAGCAAATGATCTAGCTAGAAAAGGAGCGAACACTAACTAGACCAGAACCGTTCTGCTTCCCAAGTGGTAACCAACTAAAGGCGGAACTCAATAACTTGGAAGACTCCATCCGCAACCTGGAATGGGAATCTTGCAACGGTCTAAGACACTCGAAGATGTTTCTGAGGGCTTACGACCAAGAAAAAGATCAAAATCAAAGATCTTCCTGGATTTAAGTAAGAACATCTTTGGATTGTCACGGGGTTTTTAACATGACACTGTCTCCTTAATGAACACTTCAGTAGATTGAAACTAAGAAGAAACTGCCAATGCAGATTCTGTGGGGAAAATGGGGAAACACCAGAACACCTCATCACTGAGTGCGCCGAGACGACAAAGATTCGTACCATGGACTTTGGTACGACTGATATTGGAGATGGAAAACTACCCTCTGTAAAACCGTCCCAGATACTGGCTTTTGTCGAAGCCTTGGGACTGTATGATGAGTACAAAGAAACTACTACTCAAGAAAGGGACACTATAGATCTGTAAGGTGATCAGTGATTAACCCCCCTCCCACTCATTCTAAATCCTAATTCTAAGGTCTTTAAAAAATTTAGGAATACACATAATCTACACTAATCTAATATTATATTTCATCTATTTCTGGAGCTCTGTAAGTCCCGATTTATTCAACTCTCGTACTGATTACTCGAACTACAAAAATGACCTTAATGTGCAAAATTTTAAGAGAATATATGTACATTTTAGTAGACGGAATACTTACTCCTTCCTTAATAAAATAACATCTCATATTGTGCAGTCTAGACTGACAATTTAATAGCCACAAAAGAGTATTTTTGGGCGTGACTACTATTTTCTAATTTTGTGGACCCCCAAAATACTACACTACGCGCCGCTACTGGAACTAATTACTTCTCCTTAGTTAATTTTAACTATATTTCATTAATAATTTAGTAGGTTTAATGTTTCCAATAGACCTTATATTCTCCAACCCTCAAAAATTTACCTAATACTGCACACCCTTGACTCCAGGCATCATCCCCTATCGTACTATCGTACTATAGTCCTTAATCCCCAAATAAACTACAGATTAGGCGGGGAAAACAGCCAGCATCATCGGGGATGACACGGCGTTCGGGGCTGGGGCTTCATTTTTTATACATAAACATCTGTCATCTGCTGCGAAGTTAATTCTTCTGCCTGGGGAGGGCGCTTTAGTCACAGTGACGGCACGTGCATGATGCTTTATTAAATACTTAAGTCAGTTTTTTTTCTAGAGATTGCAGTCTTCAGAACTATTTTAGAGTTTTTTTCTGATGAAATTCGAAATAACGTCGCTGTTAATTTAAGTTCTTACACAATATCCTGTCAGATTTACTACCTAACCAACTGTATAACAAATAATAATAAATAAAAGCTCAACAAATCCGCAAAAATTTCAAATCAAATAAAATGGTGTCGAAAAAAACGTGAAACGTGAAAAAATGGGTTCATGATGATGGTTCCGTCTCTAACGAAATAATATAGTACACAAATAGCATTACACTCCTTCCTTAAAAGCTCCATACTCACACTTCGCCACTTCACTTCGTTACTTCCTCGCGTCCCTTCGTTCAAAAATCATATATTTACTATGAGAAAATGTCGATTTTATGCGACTGTGTGTTCATTCCTCCTTTCGTCGAAACGCTACTTCGTCCGTTTACTTCCTCGAAACGCTCCTTCCACGTATTGTCGGTTTTTGGAGGAAGTAGCAAAGGAATTATCACAAACACAAAAAAATATTAAAATATATAAATCGATCTTGGATTTCGTTCGTAGTTGATTTCTTGATTTGGCAGTACGTCTGTACAGGGTGTCCCATTTTCGTGTGTTTTGCAGGGTTTCTCGTTTATGAGTCGAAATACAAAGATATGGTTTTCATATTACGCTGTTGCTTTTTTATGAAACTAAAGATGCTACATACAGATATGTCCAGCTCTCTTACTTCCTAAAATACAGGGCGAATCTGAAATCATTGCATTTTTCGATCCCCTTTGTATCATAACTTATCGAAAAGGTGAAAACGGTCTCCCGTACAGTTTTTCACGTAGAATGCAGTGACGAACTATTTCTTCGTTGGAATTTGTCTTTTTAAATTGACTAAAACTTATATGTTTTTTAAATACGATATTTTGTATATTATTTTATTTTCCTTGTTACGAGCTTTCTAAAATACTTATTTTCATAAACGGGGTAAAAATGCATTATTTAACTTTATTACATAGTCGGCCGGTTTAAATTAGGTAATCAAAACAATCAACTAATTTATTCGACGTAAAATGTTGGTTATTGGCATGTTATTTAAAAGCGGCACAAGTTCAGTTTCCGTGTAGTTTATCAACGATGTATATCACGATGCAAAGCAAAATTATCTGGTAAAATTAACTTAAATAAAATAAGAGCCGTTTAGCAGTTTAGCAGTACCTAAATAAATAAATATAGAGTATATTATAATTTTCGAAAGCTCATAGCAAGGCAAATAAAATAAAAAATAATATATAGAGTGTCCTGTTTAAAAAAAAAGAACATAAGTTTGAGTCATTTTTCGAAATAGACAGCTCCCAACGAAGAACCACTTTCGTCACTGCCATTCTACCTGAAAAATGAGACACGGGCGGTGGGTAAGTACTCAATAGGTAGAACAAAACAAAAAATTAGGGTTTCCGATATATACCTGTACATTTAGATGAACAGTCTAATTTTATAAAAGGTATTTCCAACGACCGCATAGTAAATACCCGATATAATACCAGTAATGTCAGGAATACGAGTATATCTACAATATTTCTTTTATATATTGTAGATATTATATATTGGTATATTTCTATTCCCTGTATTATACTGGGTATTTACTATGCGGTCGTCGGAAACTCCTTTTATTAAAATTAGGATGTTCATCTAAATCTACAGGTATATACATATATACCCAGATTTTATTTATCTACAAATTGGGTACTTACCCACCGCCCATCACTAACCCTTTTCACCTTTTCGATAAGTTATAAGATAATCGAGATACAAAGGTTATCGAAAAATGCACAAATTTCTACTAATTAAAAAATAAAAAGTAAAAGAAAGAAATAAGAAATAACTTTGAACTAAGAAGGCTAGGATAAATACATATTTATCTAGCCTTCTAGTTCAAAAGATATGTCTTATTTCTTATGTGGCATATTTAGTTTCATAATAAGTAGAACAATGATGTGAAAACAGCATCTTTATATCTCTACTCATAAACCAGAAACCCCATAAAACACACACAAATGGGACATCCTGTACATCTAGCAATCGCTAGTCGATATAAAAATAATTCACACACAATAGTCTAAAAAATGGAAGAAAAAAACAATATTGTCTTCATATTTGTGAAAAAATGCATGTCCATATTTATGTAATCGTAGCGACAAAAATAAAAAAAATAGAAATAATGTGCATGACGCCTTTACAAAAATATCTGAAGAAATGGGGACTGACATCATTAACGTTTAATTAGTATGTTTCGATATAAATTACATAATAAACTTTACTCTATTGTTGACTCGCCTTGTACATTCATACTGCTATACCTTGTACATGAGACTGAAATATTCGGATTTATTAAAAAAAATATATTATTAAAATTCAATTTTTATTTTTGACACGACAAAGAATTGCAGTTTTATAAAATAAAAATTATGCGCTTTTCGGATTTTTTAAAAATTTTAGAGGTTACTAGATATTTCGTATTAAACATGTAGCTGCTATATTAGAAATATTTTGAGGTGTGTTGTTGCATAACTGACTAATTTTCAGGGATCGAATGGACGAAGGAAGGAAGCGAAGGGACGAAGGAACGCGAGGACGTAACGCGAGGAAGTAAGGCGAGGAAGGAGCGAAGTGTGAGTATGGGGCTTAATAATAGTTTAATTCAAACGTATGTCACCTATTAAGTTTTTTTTTAATATTTAAGAAAATATTCTTTAATAAAAACTAGAAACACTTTTTAATGTCCATTTTATGAAATACGCTTGATTGTTATTAGGGCTATCAGGCTTTATTGTCTACTTTTCAAAAGATTAACTTCAGTTTAAATTTGTGTGAGCATGGGGGTATTTTTAAAGTTGCCTGTTGGCCCGCATTAAATTCATTAGTATACTATCTCTTTTATCTTAGGTATTATTATTCTTCAGCTGCTCGATACAAAAACGAAACGGCTTTTGTCCAGTTGCTAATTGTGATATCCCTATGAAGTTATCTAATAATTCTTGAGGATTAAAAATAAACTCCATTGTTTTAATTAAGTAAGCTTCGTATTGTGATATTTTACGTAGAGTAAGACAGTTATATATATATATATATATATATATATATATATATATATATATATATATATATATATATATATATATATATATATATTGTGAATTTTACGACATTCGTCGTCTCCCGCTTCTCAACTTCCACAGATTTCTGTCTGTCCAGTCTTCTTCCTGGAGGCCCCTAGAATTCATAGCATCAACTACGCCCTGCTTCCATCTTCGAGGTGGTCTTCCACGTTTCCGCCTTTCGCTTGGTGTCCATGAATGAATTCTTTTCGGCCATCGGTTATCATCCATTCGTTGGAGGTGTCCGTACCAACTTAGTATTTTGCCGTCAATGGCGTCGAGAATAGTTTCTTTTTCTCCTATAATTTCTCGTAGTCTTTGATTTGAGATGTGTTCCAATCTTGAAATGCGACAACTTCTTCGCCAAAAATCCATTTCAAGAGACAGCAACTTATTTTTCTCTAATTTGTTTAGCTCCCACGTTTCAGCGCCATAAGTGGTAATGCTCTCTACAATGGCTTTATAAAGTAGAATTTTTGTTTTTTGGGAAATTTTGTCACTCCACAACAACCGATAACTCTTTTTCCTTGACCAACTTTATTTGCAATATCTTGAGTGCTTTTTCCATTTGTTGTAAAAGTGACGCCCAAGTATTTAAATGTACAGACATTTTTGATTGTGCCGATTCCTACATCCAAATCCTCACGTTCGTCATCACCCACTACCATATACTCCGTCTTCTTTGTGTTTATTGTTAGGCCCCATTTCGAATATTCCTCATGCAGTTTTCTAAACGTATAACTGGAGTCGTCTCTGTCTCCCGCTATCAAGACCTGGTCGTCGCCAAAGAGTAAGGTATATAAAGTGTCTTTTCCTACTGGGATTCCCATTCCACGGCATTTCATCTTCCAACACTTCAGTATTTCCTCCAAATATACTTTAAATAAAGTTGGTGCTAATGAACACCCTTGTCTTAAGCCCTTATTCACAAGAAATTCTTGGGAAATATTGTTTCCAAGTTTAACTGTGCTACTGCAATACCTCGTATAATTTTCTTGTTGCTTGGACATACCAACTATGCAAAATTTTGGTATCAGTAGTTGGTATGTCTAAGACAGTTACATTTAATAGAATAATTATTTGATGGGAATTAATTAAAAAATAATGAGTTTTGGAATATCTAATGGTCTTCTTCAAAAACGAATATCTTCAATAAAGATTGAGATGAACCAAAATACAGAGTATCGAGGAAAAATACACCTTTAATGTTAAGGTGGTTTCTAAATGGCTTACTTTGTTAAGCCATTCCACAGGGTGTTTGAAACTTTCGTCAGAATAACAACATTTTTTTCCTCCTATAATAAACATATGGAGAATTTATTTTTTAATTTAAAAGGTACTAAAATGTCAAATACTTACTTTAGCTACAAATTGCTTAAAAAATCAACATTAAAATACAAGAACATTTTTCTTTCTGTCAGAAAATAATAAAGAATCGTATACAGGGTGTCTCAGAAATAAGTGCAATTATTTTAGGAGGCGGTAGATCTCGATAAAAGAAACATATTTTCTCTTTATCGTTTTTCAAATAAGTCCAAAATAACGGAGTTATTTTACTTTGAAAATTTCTAAATTTTTAGTTTAGCTAAAATTTTGAGAACCACTGGATCTTTTCTGGATTTTCTTTCTTGTAAATTTAATCTAATACCTATGTCGTCATATTATCAAGAAATTATGTTTTTTTTAACAAAAAACTGAAAAAAAAAATTGCAAAAAATTTCAAATTTTCAAAATTTTTTTTCACGAAATAAACCTCATAGGCGTGTTCCTGGGGTTGAACTATACTACCAGTTAAAATACTTGCACTTATTTCTGGGACACCCTGTATAACCACATCAACCTATTAGAAAATGATCCTTTCGCCTCATTAAGCACCTTCCACACGTCCAACCGATAAATACCATCGAATCCGTTGATTATTCTCCGTTTTTTGGACGTTTTCCCGAAAATAGTCGGAATCGTTGTGGGTCAAGCACCTGGCGTGGTTCACATGGCGCGGATCCGACTCGATTTGGTATTCAAATCGGTCCGGGTCGACCAAATTTACTATTGGTCCGAGGATTTAAATATTTTCAACATGGTGGCATTATAATTTATTAATTAGACTTTGAACAAATACGCGATCGGGACGCGACGGAGCCTAGAGAACGTTTAGGAAGATATATTTTGCATTTTTTTGTATATTTTGATGGGTTATAATTTATGTTGGAGATCATTATAAAAAGTTATTAGATAAAAGATAATTGTTATATTCGTTTATTTTTCTGTATATTCTGTAAGTATTTTTTTCTTTTTAGAAATATACAGGGTGGTCCGAACTATAGCGGCACATTCTGCAGATAAAAATAAGTAAAAAGGTTTGTATAAATGTATGTCCTAAAATGATTAGTTTGGGAGATACAGGGTGTAGAAGTTTCATTTTTATTACGATTTTTTCCAAATAATTTCTGAACTAATATTGATATTTGGATGAAAATTGGTGTCTGGAAGTTTTTTGATATGAAAAATTTGATATTGATGTCAATATGACTCCTACTTGTAGAGGGCGCCACCTACATATTTTTTAACTGGTTTGAAGAGAAATAAATTTTCGCCCGTACCTTTATAAAACTATACTGAGTAAAAAAATATATACATTTACTACGTTTTTTACGCAAAGAAGATCTCTTGGTAAAAATCGCTACGAGTAATGGTTCTCGCGATATTTGGAATCGAAATTATCAATACCTGTCATCATTGACATAAATTAAACATGTTGACTAAATAGAATAGTTATAGGACTGAAATCATAAATTTGAAATATTTTTGTGCCAAAAGTTCAACAGAAACTGTTTTATCATCATTTTTTCGAAGGAAAATTAATAATAAGTAGTAGAGATTTTTACCAAGAGACATTTTTCATGTAAAAAAACGGAAATGTATATTTTTTTCACTCAGTAGTCTACGGAAGAAAAGTTACTCTACAACAGTTCAAACCTTTGAATAAGAAGACTAAGGAAGGAGCATAATGCTATCCATGTATTCATGCATGGTGGGCGGAAAAGGGTGGGGATCCTTGACAGTTCTGTTTAACGATTCATTTGACACATTTGAATTTGATTTGAAATTTTGTGGATTTGTCAGTCTTTACGGAACTTATTTTATGTTATTTATTATTTATTCTACTACTGATAGTTGTATAAAGGTAGTAAATCTAGATGAAAATTGTGGCAGAACTTAAATTAACAGTGACACTATCGCGATTTATCGAAAAAGACTCTAAAATAGTTGGTTGTGTAGCGTGCGGTAGATCTCGGCAAAAATTGAGTGAAATAATGGAACAACTTTTCGCTAGTAAGTGACTATATAATATACATACCTGTAGTAAACCGATCATTTATGAAATTCACTTAAATTAACTAATTAACGTTAATTATATATTTTTCTAGCATTTTAGCTTTTATTTATTACTTGTCAAAGATTAGATGTCAAAGAATTTAGATACGTTAATTTGACTTACCTGCTTCAGTAGCGTATCGGATGTTTGTGTTAATAAATACTTATTATAACTTATCTATTTTTATTAGAATTATATATTTTTATAACAATTTTAATAACTACCAACATTTATTCGCAACGTAAAATAAAACAACAAATTATTGAGTCTACCCCATGTCTACCCTACATCATAGTTTTACATTTTTTAAATAAAATTAGAACGACACTGATAAACCGGAATTTAAGTCGGCCATATTTGAGGCCCATCGCGGTGTACCTAAGATTTTTGATATGCTCCTTTCTTAGTCTTCTTATTCAAAGGTTCAAACACATGTAGGTGGCGCCCCCTATAAATAACAGTCATATTGTCATTAAAATAAAATTTCTAATGTCAAAAAAAAATCTCAGACACCAATTTTCATGCAAATATTGACGTTAGTTCAGAAGTTATTTGAAAAAAATCGAAATAAGAATGAAATTTCTACACCCTGTATCTCCGAAACTAAGCATTTTAGGACATACATTTATACGAACTTTTTTACTTATTTTTATCTACAGAATAGGCTGCCGAAGTTTCCGGAATACAGTTCGGACCACCCTGTAATGTTTATGTTATGTTAAGATTTACGATAAACGAAAAATGGAAATTATCATGGTATTTGTGGCTTTTATAAAATTTTAGTAGTTTTAGTGTGAAATTACAAAAATCTATTAAAATTTTATTATAATCATTTTTTTAAACATCATACTTGAATATTGTTGAATGGGAAAAGATATGCCTCTTTAATTTAATTAAATATTTTACTATATTACTTATAGAAGACCACCTTGTATAAACTCATATTTTTTAATTCTTCCGGATTTCTGTTTGATAGAGCGGTTTATTTGTCACATAAACAATTAAGTCGTTAATAATATAAAACAAATTGGTCGTAATAGACGGATCTTGTGCAATAAATAAAATGCTTTTACGACTAATAAAAAAACGATGAAAGACAAGTTTTGTGTGCTTTTCCTCTAGTTAAAAATTAATGCCATGGGGAACTAGATAAATAAATAAAATTCCAGAATAATATTAATACTACAGATCTATTATCACTGCTAATTTTTAGTTATTTTTTATACAAGACGATAAAATGGTATTTTATCGTCGACCGAAAATATTAATTCACGAGCGATGAAATCGCGAGTGAATTAATTTCGGAAGACGATAATGCAATTTTATCGTCGTGTATAAAACAATATTTTTTTCCATAGCGAGTTACGTTTTAACTAGCGATGGGAACTATCGAATGAATTAGACTATCGAATGGTTAATGAATGAATGATTTCAACTATCGAATGGTTTTATTCGAATAAAATCATTTATTCATTTGTATACTAAAGCATATGTGACAACCTCGCCGTGCGACTAAATGGTTATCGTTGAGCCACGACTATCGAATGCTTTTGATAAATGAAATTTAGTATTCGTTTGATTTTTGTATGCGTCAGTGCATTATTAGTTCTTCCAAATTTTTATAACTTCGCCGTATAAATACTGTGCTATTTTTGCGTTTATTAAAATAGTTAAAATACTAAAATAGTAGTTATTTTTAATTTTATTTATTGACGATTGTGTGCATGTGCAGGTGGTCAAAATTTTTTCCGAAAATTTGTGTGGTTTTTCCGTAGTCCGATCTTTCAATTATTTAATTTTATATGGTATATGGTCTATTTTTAATGGGAAATTTTGAGAAGTAGCAATTTTTAAGAGAGATGAGATAAACTTACAATTAATTTTAAAAATACATATTTGTATTTTAGATGTTTTAATAATATGAATTAGTTGAACTTAATAATCATATTTAAGTAATGTGGTTGTATAATCATATTTAAGTAAATGGTTATCGAACTCAAACTATGGGGTGAGAAAATTGAAATGAAAGTTTTACACGTGCCAATTTAAAAAAAAAAGTTAACGATGTTTGTATTTTGTTTATGCTAATTCTCTTACATGTAGTTTTTTGCGAAGAAAAAATATTTCATTTATTTTTTAAAGTAAATGCCAGTAAAAGTAAATATAATTTTTAAATAGTAATATAAAGCACCTAATAATTTTGATTTCTAATTTTTTATTTATATTTTCCTTCCATTACACTGCATGCTTAGAAAATTAATAAATGTTTATATTTCATGATTTTAAAATTTGTTGTTAATATAACAAATTAGTTCTGTAATTATTATTATTTAATAAACCAACGTTGCCACACACAAAAAATTTAGAGACTATATTATTTTTAAATAGGATCTAATATAATTAATTTTGACATCTAATTTGTTGTTTATATTTTGCTACTGCTTAAAAAAAATATTTATATTAAATGAT